GCCCTCGGCTGCGGCTCCGAGGGAGCGTCCCGGAACCGGGGCGGGTCAGAATAGCCGGGGGAATGTGGTTGGTAGGGGGCGCTGGGAAATCCCGGGCTCTGGAAATCCCAAACCTGGGCCTCAGTTTTCTCATCCGCAAAAAGGGAGGAGGGAAGGGTGGACCAATTGGCGATGCCTTCCAGCTCTGACGAGTGTCATCTTTTGAGCCCCTAGATTAAAAAACAAATGTGTGGGGTGTGTGCGTACACGCGCGTGTGTGCGCGTGTGTGTCTTGGGGGCCACAGGTTTTGTGACCTCAGAGGCAAAACTGTAGGGAGGGGAAGGACTGGGGATTCTAGAGAAGCCCACCACCGCAGCACCTCCCTCCTTCTTTTACTCCCGCCATCTAAACTCAACCCTGACGGAGGAACTGGAAAGAACCTTGGCAGTCATGTGTTTCAGCCCTCCCCCTCTCCATAATTTGCAGGTAAGAAGTGGAAGTCCAGAGAGGGGAAGGGGCTTGCCCAGGGCCACCCAGGGCCACACAGTGGGCGCGTGACCTCACCAGCCGACGGTGATCCATAAACTAGCTAAAGCCCCCGTTCACCCAGCCTAGTTATTTATGAGGCTGGTTCTACCTTCAGAAAAGTCCAGGAAGGGACCGTCTTGAGTCCTCCCAACTTCGAAACTGCCTACAGGCCTTGCCACAGCAGTGAACATCCTGTCTACAGCCTCAGTCCCCCTCTCCAAGAGGCCCCTTCCCAGGAGGCCCAAGGGGTTTGGTGAGGTCGGGCTGGACGCCTTCCATCCCCTTTGCCCAGCTTCCCTCTCCTCTGGGCCTCCCCTCTGCCTGGCAGCGGGTTGGCAGCACCAGAGGAGGGGCCAGCCCAGCTGCCCACTCACAGCACAGCTGAGCCAAGACTTCATGTCCTGGGCTAGGGGTGGGGGGCGGGTGCATCTCATCTGCCTCCCTCCCCATCTGCTTCTCAGAGCTGCCCTTTTCTCTCCATTCCCACTCTCCCTTCTTGCCCCTTACTACCTCTCCCGGTTTCATTCTTTTAACTTCAGAGGGAAAAAAAAAGAACTTTAAAGCTGCAGAAGCCAAAATGTCTGGGTTCTCCCCACCTTCCCTGTGTGGTCACAGTGTCTTCGTTGGCAGAATCACGAGGAAAGGAATTGAAAACTCTAAGGGGGTGCATGGAGGATGTAGGGAAGCCTTGCTTCCCAGATACTCTGCAGGGGGCCCCAGGGAGGAGGAAGTATAGCCCCTCTCCTCTCCTTTCCCACTCTGAGCAATGGATTTGGCAGGGGAGGGTCAGACACAGAGCTAGGGGGTCACCTGGAATGAAAGCCAAGTGCCACAGCTGGAAATGACCATAAAGATGATTTACAAGTGGAAAAACAAAGGCCAGACAGGGGAAGTGACTTCGCCACTGTCATGCAGCCTGTCGGTGGCTGGATACAAACCCATTGCCACATTTGGGTGGATCCCACTTGGCACCTGTGCCCTCCAGCAGTTCCCTTCAGGCAGGTGTGGAAGTCAGTTGATGGGAGCAGATTCCTCAGGTTTTCAAGTCCTCTCGGCCAGGTCTGGAGGGCAGAGGGCCACCCTTGCCATGCACTGACATCTGGGCACCTGACAGGGTGGGGGTGCCTGCTTAAGAGAGGGGGTCCTGCCTGCTCTCTTCCAGGCAGCCGCCTCTCTAGACTCCTCCTCCAGGGCCTGCAGAGGCCTGTTGCTCCAGCAGGCAGCCCTACCCACCAAACATCTGTCTTGGTTGGGCTGGGCTTGGCTTTAGTGTGGGTAGTCCTAGGTCCTAAAAAGCTAGCATTGAGATGCCAGAGAACAGAACGGGAAGGATGGGCCTAAAAGGGTGTGTGGCTGTGTTTTCAGAGCCCTCCTATGCCACCCACCCCCTGACCCTGTGCCCAGTGGCTGTGCCCTTGTTTGACAGTCTCCTCATTTGGTCTCTGACTATAAGCCCCCGAATATCTGTGTCTTTCATTGCATATTTCCCCCTCTGGCTATTTTTTTTTTTTTTTTTTTTTTTTTTCTTGTTTCCCAGGCTGGAGTGCAATGGCTCGATCTCGGCTCACAGCAACCTCAGCCTCCCAGGTTCAAGCGATTCTCCTGCCTCAGCCTCCCGAGTAGGGGATTACAGGCATATGCCACCGCTCCTGGCTAATTTTGTATTTTTTTTTTTTTTTGAGACGGAGTCTTGCTCTGTCACCCAGGCTGGAGTGCAGTGGCCAGATCTCAGCTCACTGCAAGCTCTGCCTCCTGGGTTCACGCCATTCTCTTGCCTCAGCCTCCCGAGTAACTGGGACTACAGGCGCCTGCCACCTCGCCCGGCTAGTTTTTTGTATTTTTTTTGGTAGAGACGGGGTTTCACCGTGTTAGTCAGGCTGGTCTCGATCTCCTGACCTCGTGATCCGCCCGTCTCGGCCTCCCTAAGTGCTGGGATTACAGGCGTGAGCCACCGCGCCCGGCCTTAATTTTGTATTTTTAATTTTGTATTTTTAGTAGAGGCCCGCCTCGGCCTCCCAAAGTGCTGGGATTACAGACATCAGCTACTGCGCCCAGCCCCTCCTCTGGCTTTTATTCTCTCTGTGTCTCTCCCTGTCTCATTAGGTCTCCATCTGGTTCTCTGATTCTGTCTAGGTTTCTCTCCATTTCTTTGTGCCTGTTCTCCCTTTGAGATGCAGTGGGGAGGAGGAGGAGCTGCGGAACTTTCCCAGGATGGGCAAAGGGCACCCAAGGGAGTAGAGGGAAGGGTGTCAGAGTTGGGTTAAGGGAAGAGGTGACTGTAGTCGTGGCTCGAGATAACACAACTACCTGAAAATGTCAAATTTGGGGTTTCTTTTTGCTTTCAGTCCCCTGGTTTGGCCTCTGCGATTTCCCACCACAAAGTACCCTGGTGGTTCTGGGGAACCAGACTGTGGAGGAGAAAACTGAGGCCACGGGATGGGGGTTCAGGAAGATCAGAAACTGTCGAGGGTCTTACTGAGCTGGGGTCCGAGGCTGGCCTCCTTGCCCCTAATTGCTCTTCACCCCCAAATCCAAGTCACAGCATTAGATGGGGAGTGAGGAAGGATTTTAGAAATCTTACAGAAATATATTTCCCAGGCTGGGTGCAGTGGCTCACTCCTATAATCCCAGCGCTTTGGGAGGCCAAGGTGGGAGGATCACTTGAGGCCAGGAGTTTGAGACCAGTCTGACCAACATGGTGAAACCTCGTCTCTACTAAAGATATAAAACAATTAGCCGAGCGTGGTGTCATGCACCTGTAATCCCAGCTACTTGGGAGGCCGAGGCACAAGAATCTCTTGAATCCGGGAGGCGGAGGTTGCAGTGAGCTGAGATTGCGCCCCTGCACTCCAGCCTGGGCAACAGATTGAGACTCCGTCTCAAAAAAAAGAAAAGAAAAAAGAAAAAAAAAAAGAAATATATTCTCCAAAAGAAGACCTCCTATATTTTATTAGGAATAATAATGGTCTGCAGGCTAGGCTGCAGTTGGCACACTATATTCGTATCCTGAACTACATTGAGGCGCATTTGTGTACAAACATGGTTGTGCTCTTCAACTCAATGGATCCTTTCAATAACCTTGAAGGCAGTCAGAGCCAGAATCACACCCTTTGATTAGTCCATGAAAGAAACCTGCCCAAAGCTGTTTGGCCAGTAAGTGCACATATGGCACCAGGATCCAAGTTGCCGGGCCTTGTTAGCAGGGTCTCAGTATAACCTTTCTAGGGTTCCCCAAGCCCGGCACACACCAGGAGAGTGAAGAGGCCTCCCTGGGCTGGGCTAGCCCACCACTGTTCTGTGGTGCGGAGCACAGCACCTCCATTCTCACCCAGCCTACATCTCTGCTCTCTTGAGTGGGACAGTGTGCTCTGTGCACACTTACATGAAGGTGGGTTTGAGTTTATGGATTAAGAGAATTATCCCAAAGGGCCAGGCGCGGTGGCTCACGCCTGTAGTCCCAGCGCTTTGGGAGGCCGAGGCAGGTGCATCACCTGAGGTCAGGAGTTCAAGACCAGCCTGATGAAACCCCGTCTGTACTAAAAATCCAAAAATTAGCTGGGCGTGGTGGCGCATGCCTGTAATCCCAGCTACTTGGGAGGCTGAGGCAAGAGAATCGCTCGAACCAGGAAGGTGGAGGTTGCAGTTAGCTGAGATTGCGCCATTGCACTCCAGCCTGGACAACAAGAGTGAAACTCCATCTCAAAAAAGAAAAAGAGAGAATTATCCCAGGTCCCCTTTCTACCTTGCCCTTGGCGATCAGGTCTGCCCATGCCCCTACCCTGGGGAGAACAGACTGAGGTCACCTTGACCTGACCTTCCTTGGGGGTGGAGGGAGGTGTACAGAGATGCCTTTGTTTCCTGTGCTCCAAGTCCCTTCTTCAAGGAGAGTTCCTGTTACATGGGAGCCAGAGGGGAGGTGGGGTGGGGGTGAACGGCCTTCCCAAGAAAGCTGGAGGCTTTCTAGGAAGTATCTCTTTGCCCTGCGGCAGAGGGGAGAAGCCCTGGAGCACTTAAACATCCGCTTCACCCCCACCTTGCCTCTGCTTGGACAGTCTACCTGCACGCCAGCCCCTCCGGAGAAGGCTTCTAGAAGTGGGGCCATGGGCCCATGCTGAGAGTATACCCCACCTCTGAGGCCAGGCCCTGGGACCTCCCTGTAGAAATGCCACCCCTATTCTTGTCCATGAAGGCAGAGCAGGACCTAGGGAGGGTGTGTGTTTATATGAACAGGGTGAGGAATTCTTGCACATTTGGGGGAAGGGAAGGAGCTGCTGGAGTTCGGGTGAAGCCCGTTCCTGCAGCTGTCCCCTATCCACCACTCTTCAGGGAAGTCGCCTTACAATGAAGTCACCAAGAGAACACAGGCCATCCTGCCTGAGGCATAGTGACTGTCCTCTGTTTCTGGGAATAGCGTGAGGGGAAGGGTGTGGGGCTGGACAGGGTGGGTAGGAGGGGAGTCCTGCCTCCTCTGCCCAGTTGCCCAGCCTGCCTGCCTGGGGGAGAGGCTTGTAGGCCGGTTTCTTTCTGGACAAAGAGAAGAGGATGCAGAGTCTGTGCCAGGTTCACATTTCCCAGCCAGTCAGGTGGGCAGGAGGAGCCCACCCTTTGCAGCCCCCTCATCGCAGGGCCAGGCCCAGGATCCTGGAGAGACGAGCGAGGGCACACAGAGCCAGGCAGCTGAGTGGAATTGGCAGTGTCCTGGACGGCCCTGGGTCAAACCTGGCTTCTCATCCTCATCCATGATGACTATCAGACCTCTCTTCCCGCTGAGCTAGTTTCTCCTCCTTACAGCCCAACAAGAAATCTTTTGTGCCTCGGCCGGCCCAGGACCCGATCTCAAGCCCTCTGAGGGTTGTGTGCGAGGGGGCTGAGCATCTTCCACGACACCTCCCAGTACACTGCCACTTTCCTTTGTTATGACTGGAGGGGATTCCTTTCTGTACAATCTGTTTCTCATT